TAATAATAGTATTAAATGCTGAGCTGAAATCCACAAAAAGAACTCATGCATAAGAATCCGAAGATTCAAGGTTTTGCAGAATATAGTGTAAGGCCATATTAACAGGATCATCTACTGACCTATTTCCTTGATAAGCAAACTCCAATGGATCTAACAGGGGATCTGTGATGGTATAATTTATATACTTCATCCCAGCTATTCTCTGATCTTGTTTTATGTGTCTATTCAAAACTTCAAGAGCCAGAATGAAATGGGCATGTCCCTTTTTGTATTCTATAAGGTTTTGTCAAATAAAATGGGGGGGGGGATGGTTAGCATATAAATTGAAAAAAGAAAGTGAGAAAAAATGTTATTAAAATTACAAAATGGGAACACTATTGTAACAGATAATGCAAATATGCAGAGAATATTTCATCAGTATTATACAAAACTTTATGAAGGAGAAGAGATCTCCCTGGCAAAAGTGGATGAATATTTAAAGAAACAAAATTTAGATAAACAAATGCAGATGCTGAATGGACCTATAACAATAAGCTAAGTCTGTGAGGCTATAAAAAAGACTAAAATAGGGAAAGCTCCTAGCCCAGATAGACTGCCACCTTCCTATTATAAATACTTTGAAGATGAATTGTTGCAACTTCTTCAAAAAATTATGAATTCCATTTTGGAAAGGGGAAGGAAAATCTGAATTGGTGCAGATAAAGCATTAATTCATAAAAAGGGTCAGGACCCAACTTTAGCAAAAAAATTATCGGCCAATATCACTATTGAACAACAATTATAAAATATTTACTAAGATTTTAGCTGAAAGGATGAAAAGTGTCCTGCAAGATTTCATACATGAAGACCAATGTGGATTTTTGCCTTAATGACAGTTAACAGATAGCATTAGAAAGATTCTTAATATTTTGGAATATTTGGAACAACATAATGAAAAACAAGCTGTGTTGGTCTTTTTGGATGTAGAAAAAGCCTTTGATAACTTGAACTGAACTTTTCTATTTAAAGCTTTGGAAAACATGTGATTTGGAGAAAATTTTATTAAAGGGGTGAAATCAATATACAGTGGTACCTCGGTTCACGAACTTAATTCGTTCCGCGACTCTGGTTGCGACCCGAATTGGTTGGAACCCAAATCAAATTTTCCCATAAGGTTCAATGTAAATCCTGTTAATCCGTTCTGACCCCTCCGAATTTGGTCGCGACCCGATTTTTGGTCGCGTCCCGAATCAAATTTCCCCATAGGGTTCAATGTAATTACAGTTAATCCATTCTGAACCATATGTTTTTTTTTTTAAACCACAAAAATATGAAACCAAATACAGTACGAAAAGAGAGAATGCTAACCTTGCTCGACGCGACTTCTGGCGGGG